TCGCCTCAGCGTTCCTCGTCACGCGGTACAGAACTCTGCATCTCGCCTATAAGTTCAGGGCATGCGGCTAGCGTCCATTAAACAGCATCTTGGACGGCGCCGCAGCGGCAGCCAGCAAGCCTTATGCTGCGTTCACAGCCCATGAACGCCACGGGCCACCTGCTTCAGTGTCAAACACACTCAGTGCAAACGATGCAACGATTCAATGCAAATTACGCGGCAGTAAAGCACAGTCATTGCTGCATGTAAGTCAATGGTAATGCTCGAAGTCACGACGAGATTTAGGGCCCGCTGTCAGCGCAATCACGCTGTAATAATAACACCCCGCTGCTAGCCTTGGTGCCGTAGACAAAGCGCGCCGGCCATTGTGTTAACAGTGCTGCTACCGCCTAGTCATCCAGATCCAAGTGCATGGTGCATTCACTGGTTCTTAGCCCCGCATGAAAAAGCGCTTGCGGTGGTAGTCTGAACTGAATTTGCTGTTGAATTGCGGTCCCACACCAAACCTAACTAGCTGAGCCGTGCAATGGACAGTACAATGCCACGCTGCAAATTTTTTATCCGAATCTTAACCGCCAAAATATTTAAGTCGGATCCTACGGCAAAAACCAGCACATCGACAGCGTCCTTCAGTTCGCCTCCGAGTTTCTACGGCTCGCTAAGCTCAGCAGCGAGGTCGCCGCGTCAGCTGCACGGCCGGTGAATGGGCACGGACAGATCAGAGCCAGGCCCGACTGGCCCGATGTGTACGGAAGTTGCGGCGCCGTCCTGTCCACGTTCCACAGCTCTGGCCGTGCCGGCTGGGGCGGGAGGACGGCCGCGCCGTTCGAGGCGCCGGCCGGGGCCACACGCCACGCCAGGAATGTGCCGTCAAAGGACGGCGGTGCCGACTGAAACCCGATCCTATTTCCCGGCAACGGGACGCGATTGAGAGTGACGCGTGCCACAGCCCGGCGCGGGCGCGGAGAAGCCAGGGCCCGATCCCCGGGGTGAATCAGGCCCAGACCAGACGTGACCCGGGCTCCGGCCCCAACCGGCGGTCACCCCGTCCAAACGCAGCCGAGGTCAGCCGTGGATCTCGGTGGTGAGGGCTGACTGCCGTCCGGTGCCGCCTGTGGGGCCCCTGACATGCCATGTGTTGGCACGCCGCAGACGCCAAGACAGTGTGGACCCAACAACGCGACGAATATACAAGCGAACCAGGATACTAGTGCACCCCAAGGCGAAGACAGCCGAGCAGGCGTATGCACAGAAGGCAGGGGAAGGCGAGATCATCAATTAATCACGGACGTCGAGGATTGGTCGTTCCCATCCACATTTCACCTTTACTTATGTGCTGTCAATCTCTATCGACCGTTTGAGCTAAGCGCCTATCGACTGATAACTTTACGCCGAGTATTCTCCACTGCGCCGCTGCGTCTTTTTTATAACGACATTTATAACAACTTAAACACATTGTGAGAGGCACGCATACAAGCAGCCGTGCTGAAAAACCCGCGCATGCGCGTGTACCACGTCATAGGCAGCTGTACAGTAAGTCGCGGTAGACAAGACATGAGATATCCTCATCAGTTGGGAGGTGGAAGTTCGGAGGACATGCCCTGCTTGATTGAGCGCCGGAAACGCCCCGGTGCTTTTGACACCACGCGATTGACACAACCGCGGAGCGACTGACGTGTGCCAGTTACGACGCCAAAGTTTCCAGTTCCGCGGATCTTGGCCACAACACGGGGGCCTCCTGACCGTGATGCAACGGAGTTCACTGGGCACCAGAGGATGCTGTGCTCGGTGCACCAGGCCTCGCCCTGGACGACATCGGACCGGTCTGACGCAGCGCACGCAACCGAGAGGCTGTGCAGCTGAGGCGGGTCATGTGGTCTCGAGCGATCTGGCTCCGATTCAACGGCGCTCTCCACCCAGCGGACCTGTTCGCGGTTTAGCGATTAGCGTGGTTCTGAATGGCCGGCACTCCCCGCTGAGTGGTCCGTCCGTCTCTCCTATGTCCGGTGCCAGACATCAGGTGGTGACGAGCCGGCTCGGCCCACCCTGCAGCTCTGGCCTATCACTCTGCCTCTCTGACTTATCTCTCTGCAACTCTGGCCTACCACTCTGCAGCCCTGGCTTATCACTCTGCGGCTCTAGCCTATCACTCTGCAGCTCTGGCCTATCACTATGCAGCTCTGGCATATCACTATGCAGCTCTGGCCTATCACTATGCAGCTCTGGCCTATCACTATGCAGCTCTGGCTTATCACTCTGCAGCTCTGACCTATCACTCTGGCTTATCACTCTGCAGCCCTGGCCTATCACTCTGCAGCCCTGGCTTATCACTCTGCAGCCCTGCCCAGCTCAGACCCCCGTCAGCGGGTGCTGTCGGCGTCGCTGTCACGTGTATGTCGAGCGGTGATAACGGACCTATCGGCGTCCGTCCTACCGGTGACGTGGGGCAGTTGGGTCCAGGCGACGCGATGGACTGCGGGTTCCCGGTCCGAACAAGCTTGTAGTCCAGCATGCTTGGTTCGCCCCTGTATCACCGGTACCGTTTACGGCGGGCCGTACGGGGTCCGGCCCGACATGTGCAGGCCACAGCGGACGGACCACGCGTAGTTCGGTCCAGTCTGTGCTGGTCCAAAGTGAGCCATCGTGGCTGGCCCGGTCTGTGTGGTCAGCACTGCACCACGCGTGGTCCGGTCCGGTCTGTGTGGTCCACAGCGAAGCCGCCGCCGACACGCTTGACCTCGAGCTGGCGCAGGTTTCGGTGCTGTGAGCCGACCCCAGGCGAATGGCCGGCAAATATTTGCTCACAAAACACGCGCAACGAGTTCTGTTTATCGACGGTCGCGCTCATGAGCTCTGCAGTGGAAGCCGTCGGCGAAGCTACAAACAATGCGGCCGGAATTCTATCGCCACGTTGGGAGCGCCGCGGGCGGCCGCGTAGGTACGCCGCCCGGGCGGCCGCGTGGTACGCCGCCCGGGCGGTGCGGAGTTACGGGGTGCAGCGGAACAGGGCTGCGCGCAGCTCGGGGCTCAAGTCGTGTAATGGCTCGAATCGCTTAACTCCCTGTCACAGCCGTCAACAAGCTATCACATAGTTGATGATCTGTTAGCTGTTAGCTGATGATCTGTTGACAAAATAACTGACATGTCGACGAGCGGGTAAAACAGGAAACATGTCTTTTGTATCTTCTTGTACAGGATACTTGGAACGTTTCAAAACGGTCGTTTCGCAGCGCGCCTCTTGAAAATACATGAACATAAAGACACGCTTAGGAACATCACCAAACCGGCGCCGACTAAACCCCATTTAAAGCAGACTCATTCCCTGCATCGTCATCTGCTCAACTACGAAATATTGACGGAAAGTAAATGGGTCACGAACACCATGGCCCATTTTCCACTGCTCCAGAGCTTGTGTAGAAGAATTCTGGGGACGTTTGAGTAACACAACACATTGGGCACGGGACTGGGATTATCGCGACCGCACAGTCGCCCCAGCACGAGGATGCCGAGTAGGGCTACGCCTCCCCAGAGATAGCACTTTGGTCGTCAGGCAACCGCGCATGCAATCTCACGCCGTGTTTGCACAAATTAATGGCTTATGCAGGGGAATGACCTCCGTCGCTATTCGATGAAGTGTGAGCCAACGAAGGTGGATCGCTTGGCGATCACGGCCTCCAGTGGCCTTGCTTCATTTCGAATTGTAGGAAGCCGGTGCGACCCCTCCGTCGCCTCATCTGCACACCATTCGCTAGAACACAAAATCAAAACGTAGCGTGATCCTGTATGCGATCTACAGCTTCTACCCAGCTGCTCTAGGCCGTCTCAGAGCAACGCCGGTCATACGAGGTCGGCTCGCATTTTATCGTCGCTGCTCATGGTGACCTCGCGTCTACAATCTCCAGATAGAACAGTGATTTGGACGTGGTGTGAAAGTTTCACTGGCAATTGCCCAATAACTTGAGTTAATTTCGAAGTTTGACCTCGCGCGACCTTGACCTCAGACGTCGCTTTGCTCATCGGTCGTCACCACGCTGTCATTTCGCCGCCCTCGCGAGGTTTATTCTTGCATACCGATCCACAGCTGTGGACAGTGCTGGCACTGAACATCAAGGAATTCAGTGCATGCACAATACAACACTTGAATTCAAGTTTCGCGAAGCCTAATGTGAATGTGTTATGTTTCGTAGGTGTGCGGCTTAGCGCAACTAGCAGTCTTCCCCCAACGAATGTTTTCGAAGCCGAGTGGCAGGTTTGAGCCTGGCTAACGTTGCGTTGTCACGTCTTCTCCAGTGTCACCATAGCCAAGGTGAGGGACGGCTACGCTGAGTAGTCAAAAAAAGTTGAATGCGTCGCAAAAAGCACGAGTTGTGACATGCGGTTTGATTTGAATGCGATGGGATCAATCTGAGTAGCACAATCCACACAGCCACCTGCACAGGAGCACGACATCCTGCAGCTCTAAATAATCTTCTCGTTCAAAACGCATATGTGGCTTTTGCAACATACTCAAACTCCATTGTGACTAGGATGCAACAGATCGCTTGATATGCTCGCTCGTAGTCCTTCGCTCAACGCTCTTACGTTACTTTGTTTCAACAGCTAATGTTACGCACCGATATTTTCCAGATTCCTCCTCGGTTTATTTTCTTGTGCACATGCACGATGTAAGCAAACTGAATAAAAAGATAAAACGATACATCATGTTAACCGGACAGCAATGCATGTTTTTCATTAGCAATGCGTGCTCGAGGAGACGCCATGGACGGATGAAGACTGTCACAATGCGCCTAACATCAAACAATCGCCGTTTGTTGCCACGCCTTCAGTTTATTTTTTTGCTTTTGCCCTTTGAACTGGTACACATTCACCCACACACTGACCAGCACCGGAAGTGAGGTCGTAAGGCCACCACCTGGACACCCGCCACCCGCTGGAGGTCGCGTCCTGCTCAGAAAGGCGCGCCGGCCGAGCGCGTGGCCGCGACCTGGCGTCCGACCCACCTTTGCTGTAGACCGCGCCATTGCCCCTGGCCAAACACCAGAGGCAGAGCAGGAAGAGCACGACCACCACCGCGCGCGGCACCATGGCTGCTGGAGGTACACGCTGAGCCCGCGTCCGGCGCCGCTGCCGGCACCCACTCGACAGTGGCGCGGCCGGCGAGAGGACGCCGGCCCTGCGGCACAGCTGCCGCCAGGGGGCCGCCGGCGCGGGCCACCCGCATGCCGTGCCGGGCGCCGAGCACGCCGAGCAGCACCGCTTCTCGGACCAGGCGAGAGGTCCGGGTCAGACAGAGACCGCGACGTGTGGGGTTACGGCAGGGGCATGCGGATCACTGGCTGCTGAGTAATGGCCACGCGTCCTTGATGTTAGGCCCTCTCGACCGTTTCCGTTGTACATGCCAACGATTGTACCGAAACTATTTGTAGCTGTTACTTGTGCGGGCGAGGACTTCCATTGAATAGGATTGTCAACAGTTTGGACCACAAGGCTCTGTCCATTTAGGCCGGCCATAAAATACGTTACGCATCATTTTGCCATCTTCCAATCCTTCACTCAGGCAACGTGCTCGCTAAGCGCAGCAAGACGCTTCCTACCCGGGTTACGCTATGCTAAACGCAATATTCGAAAAAGGCAGCGTCCTTTTGGCCTCTAACTGAACTAAATGTGCAAAAAGACGGGCGTGCTGCTTGTGATAAAAGAAAGCTAGCGATATCCAGTGTTAAAATTTAAGGCATTACAACAAAATTAGCATAATTTGCAACCACACCTGCGCTTAACATTACCCGCTAAGATTAATGGTCCACCACCACCACTTGCTACTCTTCGGTTGCAGTCTACTTAAGCCCACCCATCTCCCCCTTTACGTGTAGCGTAACATACAAACAGGTGCTCAGTCTCTGATTTTCTCGAAACTGCAGTCTGGCCGAGCTAGGCTGGCCGTAACCAGCTGTTAACATGTGTTTTGTCTCGCAAAAAGCACGCACAGAATTCCTTCCCGTTTCAGAAAAATGCGCAGCTAAAACAATCAAGAACGTGATTGCTTGTATGCACCACAACGTGACTTGTTTACCAGTTACACTTTCAACGTCCAAAGATTGTGCACTTTACTCAAGATTATGCTAACGAAAAGCGAGCAGAGAGCACACAGTTTTTGTTTTACTAACTGCAGCATGCAGAGCTTTCAACATTTGTTATGAGCTCCAGTAACTGTTGAAATTATAGCCAAATGCAAACAGTTGCTACGAGAGATGATAAGCGTGAAGTGGTTCGCAAACGTGGGAACTTGAAAAGTTTGCCCTCCGGTGGGACATTCTTTGGCGTGATAGCATCGACATGAAGATAGATAAAGTGACGCCACAACTGCAACGGAAACCCAAGTGAATGTGTCAAGTCACCCATTGAAAATAGCCGAATGATGTTATATCGTCAATCATATTCAAACTCCATCGTTTCAGAAGGCGAAGGCACGCGCCAATTTAATGCGCATTCTAGATATTTCATATCGCAATGCTGCAGGAGAGATACGCGGAAGGCTTCCATACGATAATCGTACGGAAGCCTTCCAAAAAATCCAGCGCAACGTTTTGAGTTTGGCTGGTCGCTGTTGCGACCTGCTTGAAGCTGCGATCATTGTTCGACACTAGCAGTTTGCTTAATATATGAAGAGCACTAAGGCACGCTGGCCACCACCAACTGTTCACTGGATGCAATTCACGTAAGGCGCTGTTGTTGCGAAATCAAGCAACGACGAAACTGTGCGTAAACAATTCATTTTTTTATCGCTGCTGTGACCAAAAGTCAAATATATATATATATATATATATATATATATATATATATATATATATATATATATATATATGTGTGTGTGTGTGTGTGTGTGTGTGTGTGTGTGTGCGCGCGCGCGTGTGTGTGTACAATGAAAGCTGCAGCGTAAGCCAGAGTCGCAGCGAGAAACCTGATATCGGACATCAAGGTGCCTATTCATAATACCCTTTCCATTGTCGTTTTCCTTCCTTCGCTGACAACGTTGCATGTTGGGCCACTCGCGTCCACCAAGATTCTGACAGCGGAACAGACCTAATCTGGCGTGTCAAACGGAAAACGAAAGACAATCTGTTAGACGACTACACATTTCAAAGCGCGCGGGCTAACTCTTGATCCACGGAGCCTGATCTCTGTCAGCTTGACTGCGGGACAAGCGACAGCCATTACCCACATAGCTTGATCATCATTTGGTTGCCGGACTGAGCTGTGACTCTATGCGTCACGTTCGCCGCAATATGCAAACAATTTACGGGCAACCCACATAACTGCTGAATCTTGAGTATTGCGAAACATGTTGCGCTCTGTAGCTCCTTCATTTTCACGTATCGCTGGAAATTTGGTTTGCGTAGGTTATAATTTATTCAACCTCCAGATGCCATTTAGGAGCTATAAGGGGAACATAACACCAGGCTTACACCCCAGGGATCCTGATACGTAAAAAGCGGAGATGTGCGGTGCTGGGGCAGGACCGGCCACCGGGGCGGCGACGGACTATGGTCAAATACCTGCACGGCGAGCTAGCGCCAGGACAGGGGATGAACTGGAGAAACGATGGGGGAAGTGGATGTCTCAATACCTTTTGGTTCGATGGAGGCAGAGATGCCGCAGACTTGAATGACCATTTCTGAACTATGATGTTAAGGAGAGGGGCGAGAAGTGGAGCGACTGCGGTTATTCTGGGTTTGCCAAGTACCGATAATTATCTGGAACAGGGCACCCAGCTCGGGTTGTGCGTTGCTTTAAGTGGGGCTCACAATGCGTGGCAAATTTTGTGACACGAAACTAAGAAAGACAGGATTTGATGTTGATATGTGTAAGCATATTGGCCAAAACAGAGTATTTTGCTTTATATTTGAAGTCCAAGTCCCCGATGAAGGGCCTGGGTTAGCCATTTTTGAGTGGTCTCCCAATCGTCCATTGGAAAAGCGAAGACACGAAATGTTGCGCCGCTGGCAACGGTCCCGCAAATTGCTGTTGACAAAGTGCTAAAAATACGAAACAGTTACAAAAAGAACGTCTGAGCTGATGGCATCACCTAGTGCACATGGCGTCACTGTTACTACGCGTCCACCGATCAGCCAAACAGTCTCTTCACCGGCTGAATAGCATGAGCGATGGTAATACGAACACGCGATGACACGCGCTCGATCCACCGGCCTGCGAACTCGGTGTCCTGTCCGAGCGATGGCAATACGAACATGCGATGACACGCCCTCGATCCACCGGTCTGCGAACTCGGTGTCCTGTCCGAGCGATGGCAATATGAACATGCGGTGACACGCGCCCAATCCACAGGCATGCGAACTCGGCGTCCTGTCCGAGCGATGGCAATACGAGCATGCGATGTCACACGCTCGATCCATGAGCCTATGAATTCGGCGTCAGTTCCGTGTGTGTCATTGCTGACGATACCAAGTTAAAAATAAACCCGACGATGATCACATTTTGTTATCATAAGCTTAATAATCACAAGCTTAATACCACAGCGGTCTCGGCTTCACATGACATTTCTGTACAAATATCTCTGTGGCCTTACATGTGGTCATCTCAGATGGAAACCCCGTAGTAACCGTCCATAAATTACGTTGCCCATAGAGGGGGTGATGGTTTGCATGAAATGCGACGGAAGCGTAACAAGGCAGAGAGGGAAAGTTTTGGAAAGCATGATGTTAAGCCCAGGTGTGGCTGCAAATCACGCTAAAATATGTAAAAGAAACTGAAAGAAATAACTAAAGTCGGGTGTCGTTGGATTTCTGTTAAGACAAAAAACACGCTTATTATTTGTTTCGCATCTCTAGCCTATTCACGAGTCAAAGAAATGTTTTTCTCTTGGACTTTACGTTTAACACAGCGTAACCAAGGTAGGATGCGATAACTGTAGCCAGTGCGTACCCAGAAACGGGGAGGAAGGGCTGAAAATGTCTAAAAGTGCGGAGCGTGATTTATGGACGGCCACACAGGTCGGTCAAAAATTATATTTTAAAGGATGTAAGTGCTGGTTTAAAGAAAACAAACTCGCCACAAAGCCACTGTTAGGTAGACTCCTGGTTTACGATCGTGCCAAATAGCAACGATGCTCTGCATGGATGTGGCATGAAACGGCAAAAGTTGGTAAGAGTTGGTAAGTCTCATTGCGACCTAAGTTTGCTTGGACCTACGTCTGCTAAGTTCCCTTAGCGATCAGTTCCATTTCAGAGCTTGAAACTGAGGAGAATGGTAAGACGTTGGGGATAAACCGCAACTATCCTGGGCTATCCCCCGCGCCGAGCCTCAATCCCGCAGTGACCTCCAGCCCGCCTCGAGGGTTTGAGCAGATGCTCCGGCTGGGTTCTCAGCCAGGTCGGGCGTGAGGATAGGGCAGATAAAAAATGCGAAGGGAGCGAATATGAATCCAGTCAACCCGACGACCACGGCATTCGCCACTGTCTGCTAATGATGCCGCCTGCCGGTCGGTCGCGCATGCGTTATCGCCTGTCGGTCACATTAGCTGCTGCCACCTAGTGATAATATCCAGAAATGCCGTTTGAAGAATCGGTCCCTGGACACGGCGCTGGCGATGAAAATAAGCGGCGGACATGTGCAGCGTTCATCTTCGTGAAATCAGCTGTCATTAATCTGACATTAGCTGAATTGCGGACCAATTCAAGTGTTACATCAAAGGTAGCGAGCTCTGTTCCATGCACTTCATTGGCGTAACCACATCGACGCTCTCACGACGGCTGACAACACACTGGCACGGCAGGAACCTCTGGAGCGCACACAACACGGACATGACAAAACATTAATACCAATGACGGCATATATATATATATATATATATATATATATATATATATATATATATATGTATCATAAAGCAAGTTCGAAAGTTCGGGACCTTACAAAATTTGTTGTAGGTCAAGGAATTCGCACAGGCTCTAGGAAGTGTGCCAACACTCGAATTCATCATTCTCTCTGGTTCATGTATTATATAGCTGTCTTGTACGAAAGTGATATGAAATCGTACATAATATAAAGAAGCCACAATCACAAATACGTATTCTACATATGACGTCTGGAGAACCCAGTGTACCAGCCAGAACTAAA